GTGGTCAATATCCCGTTGACTTTTATATGTTCATCGATGCGCTGAAGAGAGAAAGAGAGAAATTGGCGCTTCAAGTGCAAATTCATATCAAAAAATGGGTAAAAATGGAGGAAATTGAGGTGCCAAAGATCAAAGTGCCATCAATTGCAAAGTTGCTTCCAATTCAAGGGTATTTCTTTCAGAAAAGAAACCCACCACGTCAACAATGCACTCACAGGCCAAAATGTGATCTTATTAGTTTCCCACGGGACACGAAACAGAGAATTCATACAAGATACCATGATATAAAAGAGGATAAACTTCAAATTCCGATCTATAAATGTTCCGATCATGATTACCTACACGAATTCTTTGAGATAATTGATGGATTAAAGATCCCACTCTCGATGAATACTGACTCATTTTATGGAGAAATCATTGATTCATTTGAAAATCCAAACCTGAAATCTCCATTTTTAGAGAAATCCTTCCTTTTCCTCCAAATACCAAACTTTTTAAAGACTAATGGAGATTATTTCGTAATTTTAGATCTACCAAGTCATTATCGAGACGATGAAAAGATAATCTGTTTCACTTATACGAGAAAAGAAGAGAGAAGTTATCAGGTTACTTTTTATCAAATTCCGTCCATAACTCTAAACGAACAACTAGCAAAAGCGCCAAATGGAAAGAAATCTTTCCTTCAAGCATTTTTCTATGATGAACAAGTGTATTTTCAAGTGTTACCTCATTGAATCCATTGATTGATTTATTGTACTTTTGGAATCAATTTCGATCTTCAACCATTTAAGCTGCTGTTCGAGGTCAAATAAATCTTTATCCTAACCCTTTTTGCTATGAATCGCAATAGAATCGCGAGCAAAGAAGCAATCGATGCCAACCAACCATTCAGAATCGGCTACGACATATACACATCAATTTTACCGTCTTTTGGAAACACGAATTTTTGTTTTTAGGCAACTATTTAACTTTTTAACGCAATGGGTTTCCAGTTTACCTGCCTGTTGTAATTCATTTTTCAATCTACCTACATATTTTGTAATAGAAAAGTTAACAATAACATTTATCGCAATGAAAAGCAAAGTAAACAATGTGAATGTTTTCAAAGTTTCTTCAGAAAGTTTATGATATCATTTCTGAACACTAAAACAAAGAATCCAATCATGCCGTACCAGCCGAGGGTTTTCAAAATTCCAAAGAATCTTCCGGAAGTTTGTGACCTCTGCTCTGAAACTTTTCTTCGCTCTCCTTTTTCCTTCTCTTCCAGTTTCTCGAGAACTAAACGATGTTTTGCGTAAAAAATTTCACAACGTTTCATATATGTTGTTGCTTAAAAGGCTACTGTAGCTCTTAAAATATTGGAAGACTACAATGGCTTAGTGTAGTTAAAAAAAGCACCTCGTCTTCGTTCAGCTTCGGTGTGTTCTCGACGCTCGATGATCTGTTCCATTATGTGACCTAAATTGTGAAAAATAACTGCAAAGTCTCTTTAATTTCACAAACATTCATTGCCAAAGTCGATCGGCTGGTCGAAACACTTGTTGAAGTCTTTTCGAACCTGGACAACACTAAACGGGAATTGCTATTTACATTTCACAAACACGAATGTAAAAAGCCGATCGAGAAAAGTCAGGCAGATTGATCCGGTCTGACACTTAAAAAAACATTTATCGCTTTTCTTACAACCTACGTGCAATCGTTGCATGGCTCCATCCCCAAGGTGTAGTTATGACGACACTCCTCACAGGAACGACCATAGGCAACTAAAGATCCGTGCATACAAGTAGAGCTTCGAGCAATCAGGATTATGGGCTATTAGTTAGGTTTTTTTCAGTTTCGAGAGAAGACTTACCGTTTTTACTCTATTAGTACTGGGGTAGATCGAAAAAAATAGTACTGCACGCAAATTTGCATTTATTCAAAACTAATTTCCATTTTTGAGTATTTAGTAGCCAACTTCTTTGCTAATTAAATAAATGTGTTTGCTTTGCAAAAAATGTGCTATTACGACGGCTTTGGATGAATCGGAAGATGCCCTCATTCACTGTTTCAAGAAAGATGGTCCAGTTCCAGAAGGAACAAAACAATTGATCGAGGCTCAACTTGAACAAGTCGTCAATGAAGTAAATAATCGTGTTGAAAACATTGTTTTTGATGATTCGGATGTTACCGTCTTTATTCTATAATTATTACTTTCTATGTTTGCTGTTATCCTTGTTGATGGATTTACTAAGTTTCTATTCGATTTGTTTGGTCGAAAAAATAGTGCTGTGCCCCTAATAGTACTGCGCTCTGATCCGTCACGAAAAAATAATACTATATAGCACTAATAGAGTAAATACGGTATTGATTTTTGTAAATGCACAAACAGTTGCGGTCGAACGGAAGCTGTAGATCAATTAAACAACTGTAGGCGCAAGTCATAGGAAATCGAAAAATAAGTCGATTTGTCACAAATAATCGATTCACGGGTATGTATTCTAAAAGCAGACGGTTTACGCGCCAAGAGAGAGATTTGTCTTATCTGGGCGCATGTCTCATTGTTTTTTTTTCAACACTTTCCGGAAAGGACAACTTTTGGTTATTCGACGTGCTCCAAGCAAAATGCCTATAATTAAACATGAATATGCAAAGAGATTAGATGGATTAAATTCTAGAATGATTGTCTCGTAATATTGAGAAATAAACGCGTATCTGTAAGTAATATTAGGTTGTCCAGTTATAAATGCGCGTTTTTAAGATAACAACTCTTTATTTTAAAACCAACAGTTTAACAGCTCAAGCAACAATATATTCAACATTTGTTTCCATCTTCCATGCAAAGAATGAATTCCCTCGGCGTAAAAATTGGCTTGTTTTAAGGCAAAGCAATCGGCTAACCATTTTTCGACCTCTTGAACATCTTTGAACCTGTTTCCAGCCCAATGGTTTCGCATTGAGCGAAATAAATGGTAATCCGAAGGAAAAATATCCGGAGAATATGGCGGATGCGGGAGAGTTTCCCAGCCCAACTCTTCGAGTTTTTCCTCTTTGCAACAATCTTTGCAACGTGTGAACGGGCGTTATCTTGAATGAACTTTATGTTTGAAGGATCAAGGCCTTTTTGTAGCAATACATTGTTCACTCGTTCCAGTTGTTGCGCATACGTTTCACCCGTGATTGTACAGTAGCGGACAAAGACTTAGCATAATTTAGTTTTTTTTGTAATAGAACTCGCTGTTTGTGCAATATTTACCTAAAACTTCGAAATATAATAATAAAACTTAATGTTTTAACAAAAACAATTGGCATTTAGCCAAATAGACTTTCAGAAAAAAATTTTGAAGATTTTTATACAAAACTGGTGCGACAAAGACTTAGCATATTTTTAATAACATATTAACTAAAGCTGGTAACAAATGTTTTTGAAATCAGAACAACAAAATTCGTTTTTAACAATTAATACTTCGTAGTAAAACCATTCGAGGCGATGACAGCATCACATCTGCAAGGCATGGACTCGATAAGTTCATCGGTCGTCTTCTTTGGAATCTCCGACCACTTCTTGGCTAAGAGATCAAATTTATCCTGAGCATTTTGATTTTTACTCCCCTTTGCACATTCTTTCCAGTGTTTCTCACAAATGCTCAATAGGATTCAGGTCGGGGCTTTGGCTTGGCCACTCCATAACGGCAAAGTTTTGTTACAACAGCCAGTTTTGAACGAGTCGAGCCTTGTGTTTTGGATCGTTATCATGCTGAAAAGTGAAATTTGGAGGCATAGTTTGAACTGCATTTGGAAGCATAGTTTGAACTGCATTTGGAAGCATATGATTTGTCAAAATGTCCAAGTAAACTCGTTGATCCATAATCCCAGTGATTCGCTTGAGTGGTAGAGTTCCATAAGAAGAGAAGCCACCCCATACGAGAACGTTTCCGCCGCCATGTTTGACTGTAGGGAGAATGTAGTTTTTATTGTATCTTTGGTTAACTGGACGTCGAATATACTGAATTCCATCAGAACCAAGTAGGGAAAACTTGCTTTCATCAGTGAACAAGCAATCTTTCCACTGCTGAAGAGTCCACCCTTGATGCTCCTTAGCAAACTTCACTCGGGCTTTCCGATTTTTTGCTGAAATCAATGGTTTCTTGGCAGGGCGTCTCCCGAATAGTCCTTTAGCGTTTAGACGACGTTGCACCGTTCGCGGAGTGATCTTATCTTTCAAAGAAGTTGGTAAATCTTTGTAGATCTCAGTTGCAGGCTCCTGAGCATTGCTTTTTGATAAGGTTTGAATCCTGTTATCATCTCGAGTAGTTGTTTTCCGTGGAACACCAACATTCTTTTTTTGCAATTGTGCTTCCTTTTGTCTTGAAAAGCTTCAAGATTCTCGAAACAGTCGACTGGTGCACCCTCAGAATGGTAGCAATTCGATCCTGTCTCTCACCGGCTTGATGAAGAGCCACAATCGTATCCCGAATAGCAGGCTGGAGTTGTTTCTTGCGACCCATTGACTGAAATTAATAAAATAATAAATTTCAATCAAATTATAGCTCAAATTAAGAAAAAAAAACACAGAAAAATAATCAAAATTACTGGGAAATGCAAAATTATACTTTGTTTGTTTTTCCGTGAAAATCGATGGTAGATTTATCATCGAAGAGTGCTCAAGAAAGCCTCTCTGAAATGGCGAAAATTATAAATTTGGTTTACTAGCAAAAAATTCATTGAATATCATTGAATATCAAGAAAATATCATTGTTTTTATTTCATGATTTGAAAGAAATTTGAAATTCTCGAGAAACTAACTGAAGTGTTTTTAAGAAAACATGAAAAACTCTAGTCTCTACATAAAAACATTGTATTAGAAGCCGGGTGTTTGGGTGAGGAATTTTGACAATTAAGAGAATCAAGAATTCCTATCAATTAAGATGATGTAAGACAGGCATTGGATAAAAATTTATAAAAAAATCATCATACTGTGATCGTGATTGGATTACAATAAGTTTACAAGCTGTAAATCATTTAAGGACACAGAGCCCAGTGGCCTTTGTGCACGGGGCGGTGGCCGTTGGACAAGAGGCGCAAGCGGGTGTTCCCGTTGGGTAGAAAGCCGAATTCACCGTTAGACCTCTGAAATTTACATCTATGCTATAGCCAAAAGCTAAAGTCGTCAAAACTTGCATTTCCATTTAAAAAACTCCCACTTTGGCCACGTGTAGCACAAAATCGCCCAATAAACCGTGTCATTTCGATAGGCGCATCCAATTTTTCGAGCACTTCCCGCCAAGTACTGAAAACTTTTTCAAATACAGCTAAAATTTTAAAACCGTATATCCGTAATCCTCTTGAACTTGTACGAAATCTGTGTTATCGGTTACAGTATGATAGGCGGCTTTGAGAGTTCCATATGTTGACAACCAGCCGTACCAAGAGGAGAACCAGGCACCATGGACTGGAAAACATCGTTTTGCCCAAAAACAAAAACTAAAACCAAAGACTTACTCATTTGCTGCAAGGTCTTCTCGGTCTCTTGTCTCACCGCCATACAACAAGGCATGAGATTGTAGCCAAATAGACCGACACTCCCGTTTAAGACAACGCTCACTCCAGTGTCTCCAACATATTTCAGCGAGCCAAGCTTTTTGCCCGCAGACAGAGCCAGTCCTGTGTCCCATTTCTGGAAATCTAACGGGTTTTTAGTTTGTGGAAAACTTTAACTAGGCAACTAGGGGTTTTATAAAGCCAAAATCAGTCGATTGACTAATTGAGATCTAAAGTTGAGTGCATCCTTACCAATAAGGAAACTATTGGGTTAGGAAGCTGGTCACAGTAGAAATCGACTGAATATCTTGTAAAGTGATAAGGCTTTGAACTATTGACTGAATGCCGTATTTACCCTATTTTTTCGTGACGGCTCAGACCGCAGTACTATTACTATACTATTAGTACTATTAGAGGTGCAGCACTATTTCTTCGACTAAACGAAGCAAATAGGTACTTATTAAATAAATCAAGCTTCATGTAAAAAATAAAAACTTCAAACGCAAAGGAATGATATTTCTTTTAAAGATTCAGGAAAATATTGTTTTAATTTTATTAAGATAACAGCAAACATAGAAAGTAACAATTATAGATCAAAGACTGAAACATCCGAATCATCAAAAACAATGTTTCCAACATGATCATTTGCTTCATTGACGGCTTGTTCAAGTTGAGCTTCGACGAATTGTTTTACTCGGGAATTGAACGATCTTTCTTGAAGCCGTGAATGAGAGTAATCCATCCAAAGTCGTCGTAATTGCACAATTTTTGAAAGCATGAATGATCGTGTTCTTTGGCAACTCATTCCAAGCCGTCCAAACTCAATCGAGATATGTTTCCATTGGTGGAAGAGCCGGGTTTCCATTTCGAGTCGCTAGTTTTGGTCCATTCACCATCCAATACTCGTAAAATGATTGAACTTTTGCTTTAAACGGTGCATTCCAAAGAACAACAACATTGAATGAATTGAGTGCATCCACCGGGCACAAGAATTGAATCAATCTGAAGCTCCCCGAGTTTCTTTTTCGTTGTCTCACTTTTGTGAGCCGAGAACGTGGCCAGCTTTGAAAAAGTTGATGTAGGGAATTGAAAGATATTCAGCCTACAAGCTGGAACACATTTTCTTAATTAGCAAAGAAGTGGACTACTAAATACCCACAAATGGAAATGAACGTTGGATAAATGCAAATTTGCGTGCAGTACTATTAGAGGCGCAAGTACTAATAGAATAAATACGGTATCTTGAAAAAAGATAGAATATATCTACGTGGAAAGTTTTACAATTACAAGTTGAATCTTTTCCATAGGTCTTATATTTCCAACCAATTGATATGTGGCTTTTGATGCTGGCCAGTGAATCGTCTCGTTTGCCTGATCAATATACTAAAATGAGATTTTGCCATTTCATTTTTCCCATCTTTTCAGCCCACGGGATAGTCATGCTCTTCATCCCAGCTCCTATTATTCCATGTCACTTTTCCGAGAGCCATTTGCGAGCGGATTGTGTTGAATTTCTGTAATATTTAGAGTTTGGATATTGAACTGAACATAAAACAAAATAAATATAAATCAGTGGTCTCAGCCAGAACTCACATTTAAAAAGTAGGCCTGATCAGCGGCCGGGAAAAGCTTGTAATCTGGTGGTTTTACTGAAAATTTGAATTCAAAACTTTAAAAAAGACGGAATATTTTAAATTACTGTATCTAATACAAAAAAAAGTTCAATAACCAACCACAAAGCCCAGTTGTTTTGTCACAAGGAGCTGCAGTTGGAGGGCAAGCCGAACAAGTTGTTGGCCCTTGGACATAGGCTTTCACTCCAGCCGTGTTTCCCCTAGAATCACAAGTGAAAATGAAATTTTTTTAAATCTAGAAATCAAAAACGACTCTTAGGCAAGTACTTTTTAAATTTTTCTTTCAAAATCTTTATATTTTTCATTCTCACGCTGGTGTATATCGACAAACAACGATCGCCACATTGTCCACTCCATTTTTGCACACCGCCCACGCACAGCCGACCGATTGAGATGTGGCCCAGGCCATCTGAAGCACTGTTTTTTTTTAAAAGATGTTAACTTTTTACTTGTGTGGACTGTTTTGTCATTGTCATTACATATCCCCTGGGTCCAAATGCGTTAAACTCAGCCGACCAAGCACTGCAAGCTTTTGTGCCTAAAAAAACTTATCCTTACTTGTCCGCTTCATTTTTTCAGCCGACGGTATATACAGAGAGTGTCATAATTACCCGAACTCACTTTTAATATCCAAGAATGGCTAAAACGCACCCGATCTCCTGGCCATTTTCTGAAGACGAGTTTTGATATGGTCTCCTGTAGCGGTGCCAATTTGATAATCAATTAGAGCTCTCAACTTTTTTTATATAAACTTTCAAAGTTGAGAGTGTCGCGCTTCTTCTGGCTACTCACTTTAAGGGTTTTGCTTTTGTGAGACTTGTTTTCTCGTTGAAAATTTTATACTTTCTGTATTTGCCAAAACTTTTTGTTAAATCATGAAGAATTAAATGCTTCCAAGCCTCAAAAAAATCGTTTTTACCGACCTTTTATCGAGTTCGCAAACAGTTCTTTTATCTGTATCAATGTGTTCTTTTTTTCACAATCCAGTAAATTTTATCATCTTTTAGTCTTTCTCTTGGTTAAATGTTTTGAATTTTGATAAAATCATATTTTTCTCAAGAAAAAACAAATCCTAAGGATTTGTGCCAAGGAGAAAGTTATAAACCCCTAAAGTGAGTAGCTTGAGAGAAGAAACACGACTCTCAACTTTGGAAACTCAACTCTTTTATGCTTCAAAATTGAACGACTTCCGAACGAAAAATACTCATGGTACAAAGGCGGATACTTTTCGACTAGACCCTCTGATTTTGTAACACCGTATGAGTATCTTTTTACCGACGTTCATGGACAGTGCGCAGAGGAAATAACCTTAACAAGTAAATAACCATCTCCCAAAGGTGAAAGTGCCAAGGAGTCTTCTTGTTATAGGATGTTTTTTTAATTTTTAATTTTTAAGACCTACAGTAATTTACGTTATCTTCGGTCGGGAACAAAAATTTCATTCCATATAAGAGAAATTCCATATGAGGGGATTCCATATAAGAGGAATTCCATATAAGGAGGCGACGACTGTAATTAGTACAAAATGAGCTTTGAAAGTGATAATTTGCAAAAAAAAAGAAATATTTGGTACTCACGAAAAAACGTTCTAAGTTGTTCCTTTAATTGTGTAGCCAGCCAGAATTCACAGAGGCCATCTTTCAATTAAGGTCTGTCTTTCAGTATTTTGAACTTTAGAGAGAAGGTTGCTCATGGTACTCTTTGAGTTTATTTGAAAATCGAAATAATTTTTGAGTTCTGTGATTATGACCCGGAACAATTTTGATTATGATCTAGAACTAGAACTAGAACAAACTCAGCAGCCTTCCAATCTTGTTCTCGAACTGATACGCAATACAAAGCTTTTGAAGGTGAAGGGGTTGAGAAAGAAATTTTAGTTAGAAAGCTTTACGAAATAAGTTTTTGACAAAAATGACTAATTTACTCCGTGTGTGCCCGTCTGCCTGGGACATATCTTGCCAACAATGGCTCGGATTAAGTTTAAAGTTTGTTTTAAAGTTTCAAATTTTAATATCTTTAAGGTGGCCAATTTGTTTGGATAAACGTCTTGTGTCAGGCGTTTGGGCGAACGAGGGCAAAAGTTCTAATATTCGTGATCAGCATGGTCGATTCTATAAGATCCATTTAGTCTCAGCTCAATCCCAGATGCCGATCTGAAGGACTTCCCTGGTCAGAGGGAAATCAGACAACGAAAATAAGCATCAAAAAGCGCTAAACAAGACGAGAAAGAGCTTCTTAAAAGTCTGCATTATGTCGGCAGTATAGATACATTTTTTGAAACTTTTTATTAGAAATATTAAATGAAAAAGCAGTACATTTTATGTTTTCAGACTAGTTTTCTCTTCTGATGGCGAGTATGGCGGTGAGGGGCACTTCGATGAACTCAAGTTTCGCGTCGATGTCACTCTGAAGACCTTCACTCATCTACAACCACCAAATTGTCCGCCAATCTTTCGAAAACTAGTTTCAAAGTAAATTATTACTCAGTGAAAATCCAATTCGCAATTCTTTAGTTGTGTGAGTTTTGATCGTTTGGAAGAAAAAGAAACTTAACTGTAATTTTGTAGATTGCCAAGAAAAGTGAATGGTAATTTTAGACGGTTTATTGCAGCGAAAAAGTGTAAATAACTATTAGGTACTTGCAAAAGAAACTGCGGGTCATAAAAACCATCATAAAACGACTGTAAGTAAAGATGATCCGGGTTGATTCGTATTTTTAGAAGCCCCAATATATTCTCTTTTTAACGATATAAAAAGAATTTGACGAAGCTTCCTTTTGGAAGACCAGTGGAACTTTCAAAAAGGGCACGAAAAATGGTCTGATGGAGCCGAAATTTGAACTTAAGATTTCTCCACGGTTTTTCAATAAATATTTTGTCACTAATATGAAATGAAAGAAGTTTAATAACTAAAACAAAAAAGATACAAGTTATTAGGTTGAACACAAAGTCTTGGTAAGGGTTTGGACTTGCGAAATATTTATTTATGTAAACAGAAAACCGCGGGAAGATGTTCAAAAGCTGGGCTTATCAGTCCTCTTTGGATTTAAAAAGCCGTTTCAGCTGTGAACCCTTATCGATCTCTGCTTATTACATTTAAAAATGAATGCTTTAATAGAGTACTCACATTGTTGCACTGTTCTGATTCTTTTCACTGATTTGTGACCAAATAGACATTTCCATATGCTCCCTTTCCAATCCATCGCCTTTCTTCAACAAAATCAGCCATTTTTGTGTGACAAAATGATTTGTTTTAAGTAAAATCTGTAAAATACAACATAAATTAGCAAACTCAACTAAAAAATGCACCAATCAATGAAATGAAAAGATATTTTGGGGAAGCGTCATTTTGTTGCACGACAAAAAGCACAACTCTTCAACGGAAAGAAAACCATTTTCATTCCTGATTACACTTATTTTCCCTTCATTTTTCTAATTTCTTTTTAATATTATTTATTTAAGTATTAATTTGATATTTTGATATTTCTTTTTCCTTGCATTCTTCAAGGGAAACTTTAGTCATTGTTTAGCCTGTGAAATGAATGCCCTCGAAAGCTTGACTGTTTAGCTCTCGAAATCTTGGCTTTAGACCCCCTTGTGGGGGTTCTATGGATAGATCTAAGCCTAAAACCTACTCATATTTTATCGGTAGTAAAACTTCAAACGCAATTTTTGAAAAAAAAATGTCCCCCCCCCCGCTACTCAGGAAGTACCCTGATCATTGTTTCGTTTCAGGAAATGAAAGTCTTTCAGTCTCTCAACTGCGTTGTCTGCAAGTTGCCATGTAAGTTATGCGTTTTATTTAATTCTATGGAATACTACATGCCTAAGTGCACGGTGTTAATTTGTCACTTTCAGTTGCTCGAAAGGCCAACGAGGCTCGATCACCACGACATTTATACTGCGGATTGGCGATGTGTCATGAATGTTTCGAGAAGGAGAGGCGGTTGGAGAATGAGGAGAGGAAACATCAATGTGTTCAAAGGGATGACTGCTTTTACAATCCCAATTTTGCATTTTACCTGATTGGTAAGTGAATTTGTTTTGTTTAAAGTGTACACTTTAAACAAAACAAAGCGCAGCTTTTTAAAAATAAAAAAATATTATTCACTTGTATTTCCGATTTAGATGTTCTATCGCAAGAAGATTCCTTGGCACTTTCACCTTTGGGAGATGGTTATTTGCTTGTCAAGGTCTTTCTAGCTCTTTATGTAGATTTGTTTTGTTTAGCCCTTCAAAATTCCCGAATGTCCAATTTGTCATGATGAATGTAAGTGTTTCATTGTTTATTTGGGGAATAAAGTATTCATTTTGGCTGAACATTTATGTTTAATTTAGATTCGAATCAAGTTGACGGAAAGAAATCGTTTCCACTCTTTTGCAATCATCTTATCTGTACGGAATGTTATCTGAAGAATCGCACGCCAAACACGAATGCGAAAAGAAAGGAATATCCCCACCGATTTACTTGCCCAATTTGTAACGAAGGTGCCAATTTCAATGGTGTGCCGGTTGATCGATTTCAAGGTAATTGCTATAATTTAAAAGAACTTTCATCCGTTAGATTTCCTGAATGAATTGCCAATGATGACACGTCAAATAGAAGGAATGAGGAATTATCGTGTTTGTGATGATTGCAAGAAGACTGTATAGTTTGAAAGATTAAATTAATAAAGTCAACTTCCAGCGGAGTATTGACGAGATGTATCACTGTAATGAATGCCATTTGAAGGTTAGTGGGTTAATTGACAAATAGTTTTCCCGTTTAGATTTGTCCAGTTTGCCTTATTGAGGAGCATCGATCTCATGAGACAACGCGACTTTTGAAGCAAGAAGTGAGTTTAAAGTTAGCAAGTAAAAAATGATGTATCTAGCTTTGTGAAATGTCCGAGGCTCAGCAGAAAGTTACGACCAATGTGGTGAAAACGTACAACGTTTTGTTTGCAGGAATGCACGAGAATATTTTGAAGGGTCTGAAGGCTTTTGGAACGGTATACTCATTTCGAATTATGTTAATATGCAGATTTTTTAGAAATTGACTTTGAAAGAAGAAAACTGTAAGAGCATTTCGACATTTGGAGAAGCGAAGAAGACACTTGAAAAATGCGCGTAAGTTTTTGTCTTTGAATGCTTAATAATCTTAATAATTTAGGAAGCTGAGAGAGGACTTTGAGACGATTTCGGAGAAACTCATACCTCATCTGCGTCGATATGAGACGAAGGTCAACGTGAGTTTAAAAGTTTTGTGACTCACCTTTTCAAGTTTTAGATATTGACTGCAGCAATTGACAAAGATGATTATCAAGGACTTGAAGATGGATTTGAAGAGTGAAAGGAGCGATGTGTTTGATCTTGATTTGGCAAATTTGAAACTATTATTTTGTGCATGTACGAAGCTGTATCGCTTTTTGTGTTACTTTGATCACATTGGTTTTATCGGTGCAATAAATATTTTTACCTGAAAGTGCCGGTTAAATGGTATGTGATTGGTGTCTTGCTGTAGCGGTTTCCCTTTTTAAAAGTCAGGTTTGTTTAATTAATTATCTTGGGGCTTTGACAAAAGCTATTATAACTTGCTGAGTTTTGTTAGGTGGTTATGGAAAAATAACCGTTAAATTTCTGTTTCGTTCTCGGTAATTCGCTAGTCCAGCAGCTCGGCTTCCGGGGCTACAGGTATGCGCGAAAATGTGTTTTCTATAGATTTTATTTTTTCCTATAGAAAACGATGTTTTGCCTGATTTCGCGTGGATGTGGGAAACAATGACGGTTGGAAAGAAGACTGGCCATACAAATATTTTTACCCGTCCTGTAACAGGAAAACTTCTGTCAATGTAGAACAAAAAGATCGATTTCAAGGTTTTGTTTTAATTGGTTTTTTCAAAAAGAAATACACTTTTTAGATTTCTTGGATGAGTTTCCAGAAGTTACACGTCAGATTAAAGGACATCGTGTTTGTGATGGTTGCGAGGACACAGTAAAGCTTTTGATTTGATTAACTAAATATCGACATTTTGTAGGGCAGCATAGACAAAATGTACTATTGCATCAATTGCACTTCGAAAGTCGGCCTATTTTTGATAAAAACCTAACCATTACTTAGATTTGTGCTGTTTAGTGCGTTTAGTTTAGTGTACGTTTAGTACAGTTTAGTGTACAAGTACGAAAGTTTAGTGCGACTTAAGCCTGTTGAATATTGCGCGATTTTCATACAAAATGAAAGATATTCAATCAGACTTATGCTTCGCGTAAGCCGAGTTTCCAACAACTAATCAACCATTTTCAGGAGTATACAAAAAAAAAAAAAAAAAAAAAAAAAAAAAAAAAAAGGGAAAGGGAAAGAAAAAAAAAAAAAAAAAAAAAAAAAAAACCAAATAAAAAAAAACCCCACCCCAAAAAAAAAAAAAAAAAAAAAGGGGGGGGAAAACCCATTCCCCATAAAAAAAAAAAAAAAAAAAAAACCAAAAAAAAATAAATTAAATTTTATTTTATTTTTTTTTTTTGGGAAAAAAAAAAAAAAAAAAAAAATTTTTTTTTTTTAAAAAAAAAAAAAAAAAAAGGAAAGAAAAAAAACAAAAAAAAAAAAACGCGGGGGGGGGGAAAAAAAAAAAAAAAAAGAGGGAAAAAAAAAAAAAAAAAAGAAAAAAAAAAAATTTTTTTTTTTTTTTTTTTTTTTTTAAAAAAAAAAATATTTTTTTTTAAAAAAATTTTTTTAAAAAAAATTTTTGGGGGGAAAATTTGATTTTTTTAAAATTAAAAGGTACGAAAGTTGGGCTAGTTGCTGTTTCTGCAATTATTGCAAGGGCTTTGAATGTAGAAATATGCTTGTTGCGCTTGATCATAGCGAAAAAATACAAGCTAAAATCAGAGGAGACCGACGGGTTGAGTCCCCATTATTAGTCCTTTTTGAAGGCAAAGGGAACAAAGGTCACTAATATGAAATACTTGAAATTCAACATTTTATTACTATAAACAAGATCTAAGACAAGAAAACCTACATTTTTCAAAATAAAAAACAAATGACTTGAGAATTTAGTCATGAATCCAAAGATTCCATTCTTGTTAGAACTTGTTGAATCTTGGAAAGTGCCCATAGTTGTCATACATGTGTAATCGAATTCCTAAATAAATTCTAGCTATAACTTTGACATTTTATGGTTTTTCACAAACTTACAGCATTATTGTGCAATTCCTCAGAGGATGACTCGACTCTGTCTGCCGCTAGCCGCTCTGCTTTCAAAGCAAATCGGCTACGACATATATTAGGTACGGAAGAAATGAATGTATTTGTGGGTCTCCGGCGTTGCCTACGCGGCTGCAGATGCTTATTGACCTAGGGTCTTTTTATGTATTATGAATATTTTTCCTTAATTTTCTTTTCTGTTTAACACTTTTGCTTGGACCTTTCTTATTTCTGGAACGAATTGTAACTTGTGATGAAAAATGGGTTCTCTACGATCAGTATATTTACGAAATAAACGAAATGTATGAAAAACTTGGAAGGATCGATCCAGCTCTAGTGAATCAGAAGGGTCCCATCCTATTGCAAGACAATGCCCGCCCGCATTGTTGATTGAAGACTCTTCAAAAACTGAACGAGCTGCACATTGAAGTCCTCCCTCATGATCCATATTCTCCTGATTTGTCGCCTACAGATTTCTACTTTTTCAAGTTCCTCGATCACTTCTTATCGGAGAAATGCTTTGCTACTCAAGGGGAGGGCGAAAATGGCATCAAGGAGTTTATCGATTCAAGGGAACCCGCGTTCTACACTTTAGGAATTGAAAAGTTAGCAAAACGTTGGCAAGCATGTATAGATTCTTCTGGTTTTTACTTTGATTAAATTGCTTTTGAAATAAAAATTTTATGAACGTTTGAACTTTAGTCAAAAAAATATGACATTAATTTTTTCCGTACCTAATAGATTCGGAGTATAAGATAAAGAGATCTTTCCCTTTATCTGATACTCAGGATAGATAACTATTACAGATAATGCAGCAAGGTTTTTGCCACCAATTCAACTCGCGTTTTCCCCCGGAAAAAAACACATTTCTAGACAATCACAATCCAACTCCCCGGCAACTTGAGCCTGGGCGTGAAAGCAAAAGCCTCAACGAGGAGCATGATAAAAGTCTGCTTCAACGGAACCGCCAAGGACATCACCCTCAACGGAATATCGTTTAAATATTATCATGTCGGCGATTTCCCGATTTCCACTCCGGGTTATATCAAAGTGGACATACAAGGCGTGGGTGAAAGTCATACAAATTTCGGCGAACTTTCCCATATTGTTGCATCAGGAGAGGCCGTTTCGAGCCAATGCATCTACTCGAATAACCCAGAATATTACTATTGGACACGCCGGGGATCGTCTTGCCACCTGACCTACACGATTCCAACGAACACATCAGTTATTATTACAACGAATTGGTGGTTCCGGAAGGCCACGACCGAATCGGCTCCTACTTCAGGGCGATCGGTTTCGCCGGGGGGTATTTCGGCGTTCAGGTGAACTCGGAGTGCGAGAGGCGAATACTCTTCTCCGTGTGGACGAACTGCCCGAAAGATGTTCGTAAGGACTATCGAGTCACCCTGAATACGGCTGGTCAAGAAGTGCACACTGGGGTGTTCGGCGGTGAGGGTGTCGAAGGGCAAAGCTACCTGAAACCTCCTGGAATTGCCGGCGGAACCTACAAATTCTTGCTCAACGCGCAGCCGGACAACAGCGGCAACACGGATTACACCGCTTGGTGGGCACCGGAAAATGGGGAATGGAACTCAACAAGTTTGATTGGAAGAAGCGTTTTCCAAAGTTTATTCTGACAATTTTCAACTTCTTGGACATCCTGCATCAATGTAATCATGAAATTTGGTGTCAAAATAGGCATTGTGATCGGGATTCCAAATGTCGAGTTGACCATCCTGACAATTCCTGAAAGTTTTCATCTATCTGAATAATAAAAACTATTTCTAGGGTTTTTGAGAGTCTTGAAATAGATTTTCAAATGATTTACTTGTCTTCTTGTTGAACGCAAATTTTGTACGTATCATTGACAGCCATTTTGTTTGGATAAAAGACCTAAATAAGGATTTGATTTAGGTCTCCCGGTTATTAGGATTTGAAACCTCAATTCCATGATGATGATAGCCCATATCTTGAAGTGGAAGTTGAGTGACAAGATCACGATTGTGAACGACACGGAATGAGTGGATAAACTGAAAAATGAGAATTTCATTTATTAAGCAAGATAAACCGTATGAATTTTCTGAAAAAAAACACCTTTACTTACTTGTTGATCGTGTGAGATTGCATAACTTTGATTTCCCACCCGCGGCTCACCAAAAGTGATCTAAAGTGAAGTTGGCTTTTTTAAAGGATTACATTAGATCTTAAACAAATTATAAGCAATATTAAATGAATCAAATCGCTATACCACTTTAAATTTATCCATATTTGGTTGATAATGAATTGCTAAATAATCAGATGCAATCGCGGCTATAGCAGCGCCAAGTGAGTGACCGGTTATCTAGAAACGAGAACTTTAAAAGGGCTAAAACATTTGAATCACCCAAATCTCATAGTCGGGATTTTGTTGTCGAAGAGTCAAGAAATCGTCTTTCATTCCTGAAATTTGTCTATGGTCTATTCAAATTGAGCTCTTGATTTCAAAAGAAATTACCTCCATACCAAACACTGATGAAACCATTGTAGAAATAATAATCAGCACCACCGCCATTGAAAGGAATCTGAAATTAAATTCAATAGTTTTATGTACTCTCTTATTTTAACAATAGTCAACACACCATTTTGCGAAAAGATTCAAGAAGTTCCAAAGCCAACTGCATATCACCGTCAGTGCCTCTAAAATTGATTTAGAATTGTAAATGAATGAAATTGAAACCTGAATGACAAAATGATTGCTTTCATTGAATCGGAAACAGCTGTGTAACCAGCACAAGTATCATTTTTTGTCTCATCGCATTTTGCTTCAACAAAACGTTTCAACTAAAATGAAAAGAAATTCACTATTTTTAAACTTTCAAACCTTTCCCTGACTTCCAGATGTGATACATTTCTGTGGATCACTTGAATAAGCTCCCATTGCTAGTGGAAACATTACATATCGTGCAAAATCATCAGAATACTGAAAAAAAGATAAACTAAAAAAATTTCTGTGATTCAAAACATTGTAAACTTTACCCCAGACGTAGACATTCAGCTTTAACTTAAAATCTTGGAGTTAGATTTAAAATTTACAGCAAAATGACAATAAATACCTATTCATTGATGATAAAATTGTCTTACCTGTGCCGCATCTTTCATTTTCTTTTCATACATGTCTGCCGGCATCCCAAAACAGACACCAAAAAAGACGCCAAACGAGAGAAATCTCATTACTAAATATTGTAAATAAAGAAATTTTAATTTTTTCTTATATGATTGAAAGTTTCGTTCAAACTGTGAATACCTATGAGGGCTTTTTCTTTCGAGGCAATATAAAATCTCCGATAAGACTTCAAATGCCGAAGTTCACCGATTCTTGAACCCCAAAAAAGAAGCACAAATAAGCCTGTGATCGGGAGCAAAAGATTCCTTTGCAGTGCCTGAAAGAAATTTGAGTTTAAAAACAAAACTTATCCAAAATTGTATTTTTTTGATATTTTTCTAGGCAATAGCACTAATCCCTAATGAATTAGAACAGTTAGAATGTCAAGTTTAATTTTTATGAAGTGCGATCGATGACTTGCCTTTTGAAAAGTTCAGCTTTAAAGACTACTTTCCAAGTTAGTTCGTTAGTTGATAATTTGAAGTGTTTTCACGTTTATCAGAAAAATTGATTATCTATTTTTTTTCTTGTTGATATTTAAGTTCTTTTCCGTTTCACTTTTCAGATTTCAAATATTGAGGAAATGATTGTGTTTGCGTATTCTTTTACTTCAAAACAATTTATAGTAATTATAGGGTTTGAAAGTCTGTTCTTTAAAATTTATAAAAACCTGATAATTAGTAAATCTCAAGGAGATGTTATTTGAATGAGAATTTCGCTTTTTTTTGGAAACAATCAATAGAGTGTATTCCTCAAGGGTATCTTTACCAAAAGTGGAAATTATTGGATGAATGGTGGCTATTATACGAGCAGTTCAGAGCTCCAAAATTCATCGACTTCCGAAAATACTCATGGTATAAAGGCGGATACTTTTCGACAAGACTCTCTGATTTTGTAACACTGTATGGGTATGTGGGTATCTTTTTACCGACGTTTATGGACAGTGCTCAGAGGAAATAACCTTGACAAGTAAATAACCATCTCCCGAAGATGGGTCTTTACTTTTCAAAGAGTCTTCTTATTATAGAATACCTAAAAGACAGAAATCAGCCTAATTTGTGTAGACGTCTATTTGAATTTGCAAAAAAACGAAGAAATAGTTTTGCCTTTTCAACGTCGTGTTTTTTTGAAAAATGAAACACCAGCCTATCAAGAAGAATGCGAATTTTGAATTGGAAAAGCAGATTTCCTTGATGCATTAGTGTTTTCTTTCTTTCTTTTCTTTCTTCAACGCCTTCTCTCTCCTCAAAAGATTCATGGCCGACAGCTAATCCGCATTGACACCTCGTTGGCTTTCCGAGGAACTAAAATTTACAAATCAAATTATTGGTTATTTAGAAAGAAAACATTAGCCTTAACAAAAAGAAACAAAACTCAAATGGCGCCTTGGCAAAGAATACAGTCGAGAGAGTGAAAGAAAAGAAAAGATTTCCTGAAAAGCAACAATAAAGAGGGAAATTGGGTGCTACCAATGTAAATTTTCGACTTTGGGGGTTATCTTTTAAACTTTTAACATTTTTTTTGCTTGTAGAATCTTTTAAAAAGATAGATTATTATTAGTTATTAGTCATTTTTGTATTATTTTTAAGGAAAAATAAAAGCTTTGAAGCCCTTTTAACTTATGAAAAGGCACGCGCCCGCCCACAGAAATGGACCCCTTTAAATTCTATTAAAAAATGTTTTAGTGCTTGTATGGTTTGCATGACTTATTTTTTTTGTCGAAATCGACCAGTTTGGGGGTTTTAAGGTGCGCTGAATTCGAATCTTGCTATCCCAGATTGGGAAAATGCACTCCAAACGAGTTATACAATTCTTGAAAAACATGTTTTTAAGTGTTTTTGATGTTTTAAATGCAAAATCTGACCGCGTGCCCTTCGGAATCGATCCGCCAGTTTGGTGATACACTTTCATTTCTTTCTTGCGACAAACAGGACACGTTCGACATTTGTGGAAAAGCAGCAGATCGCTGAGCCAATCGTTGAAATCCTTATTTGAGAGCTGTATCTTTTTAAAGAAATCCCGTAGAGTGTAATCTCTCAGATCATTGATTGTTGCCATTTCTTACGTTAAAGATAATAACAAAAATTTTGTTTATTTTCAAGGCCTTATAAAGACTTTAAACGTGTTTGAAGAAGTTAAACAAGCCACGTCCATTGCACATCGGCGCGAAAATGTATTTTCTATCAGATTTTGATGTGCTATAAACTATTTAACGTAAAAAAGTGAGCTGATTTCAAAAAAATTTTGAAATTAGCTTGACAGATTTTTAAAAAATCTAATTTCTGCAAAAAAAGCATGTTTTTAGTGGGTATATTGGGCTTAACCAAATATAATGAATTAAGCGGAACTCTTAGTAAAATTTGCATTTAAAACATCAAAAACACTTAAAAACATGTTTTTCAAGAATTGTATAACTCGTTTGGAGTGCATTTTCCCAATCTCGGATAGCAAGCTTCGAATTCAGCGCACCTTAAAACCCCCAAAATGGTTGATTTCGAGTGAAAATAATTCCTGTAAACCATACAAGTACCAATGTTTTAAAGTGCTCAAATCATTTTTATTAAATTAATCATACATTTCTGACCCAAGAAACATTAAAAAAACTAAAGAAAACTTTAGTAGAAATGAATTTTTCAGACTGCTCTCCCTTCGAACTATTGGGTTGGGGAGAATGAGTCGGCGCCTCGAATGAAAGAAATTTCTAAAACTTATAGCAGACTTTGTCAAATGATATGCGTTTGATATCCGTAGAAGGGTAACTAATTCTCTACAAAATCATATTTAAAAGAGAACTCAAACAGCGCCTCAACTCAACAAAGGATCATTTTTTCACAAAATCGATAAACTGTCATCTAGAGTAAACGGTTGGAGGGATCTTCCTGAAAATTTGGTAACTTATGTAATTGAGTGTGCTCTATCTTTTTTATATAAACACCAAAGGAGGTTTATGTGGAAGGAACTGTTCAAGCAATGAGTCGGACTTTTTGTCGTTTTGATTAGCTGTGTCCATAAAATCCCAAAAAAGAAAAGCTTTGTGGAATCTCTCAAAAGCCATTTTGTAAAGAAATAGTCGACCATTTTGATGAAACAAAACGTGTATTTAAAGAAGGTTTTATGGGTGCAAAAAGTTTCTTTAAATTTCGGCGCCGACTCATTCTCCCCAACCCAATACTATAGCCTCGGAAATCGAGCTACTAGACTAGTGAATTACTGAGAACGAAAGAAAAATTTAACGGCTAATTGAGAAAAGACTTCATTTTCATTACTTTCACATCCCATCACTAGAAAAAAACAGTTATTTTTATCAACAGAAGGTATTTCCACTGAAAGGATTATATTCTCAAGCCTCTTTGCTAGAGAAAAAAGATAGGAATTCTCCTTTTTGACACACTGAATTCTAGTTTTCTATTTAAAATTGAAAAATTTTGAATTCGAAATCGGATGCAAACTATTTTGCTGACTCTAATTGCTTCCGTTCTCTCTGTTAATGCAAAAAGTGTGATTCTCTCAGAAGAATATCCTTCTTATGCATTTCACGGAGTTCGATTGAGTGACTACAAGGTTACGTGATTACGGAAATTTTAAGCGTTATTTAAACTTTAGGAAATTTCCATAAATAGTGAAGGATCGGCCATCACATTTCTCATCGATTACACGCAGATTGGGTGTAAGAAAACGGTAAACTTTGGTGGATTGCTTTTGGATCACTTGTTTTCACTAAAAATTCACTATAAATATCAATTTTGAAGCAATAATTTAATGAAAGTGTTAAGATTTTATCTGAAAGCTCTAAATTAACCCTGAATCTTTTGACTTCTAGATCGACAATGTCTGTCAAGATGACGCTCCTTTCAACATCAACGAAAATGTACCAACTCTAACAAATTGCAATTCAGTGTTAGCTCATTTTCAACAAAAAAAACAACAAAATCTATTTTAGATCATTTGAGAAACCATCAAAAACTATTCTCTATTATTGCTCGTTTAAAATAGAAGCTGAACAAGTAGTGATCGGTTCGGTGAAAAGCCCGGCAACCACTGATTTTGCTCTCTCGATTCGGGTACAAGAATGGGTGGCTGGTAAATTAAAGTGATAACTATTCTATGAAGTTTTTCAGATCAAAAACTTTTACTCATTCCGGCAAGCACTTCGAAAATCCCTCCACCACCGGAACAAATTATAAAAATCAACAGCGATTGGGTGGTGACTGTTGTGGCGAATCCGCTCGTTTATCAGTATAAAACTTCAATTTTTTAACTTTAAACCATAAACTTAATGATTTATTTGAACAATTTTGAACTTAAAAATGAATCACTATCAAATCACTTTCAGCTTTTTTTATAGCATTTTCCAGAAAGTCAATAAACGGCCCATTGCTATCCATGAATGTGCATGGGGAGCTAAATCATGCTTTTCCTCATCTATGCGACTCTTTACTTAAAGTTTGACAATTTGAGAAATCAATATTGATTCGGAAACATTTCAGAACGAAACATGTGATGGAATGTTTACGGCTAATGCCTTTTTTAGCTCATTTCCGAGTCTAGACCTTGCTGATCGTTATGCACTTCGAAACGACGTGTTAGTACTATTAGATAATGAAATAAGAATCACTTTACAGATCCTTTGCATCAAGAACTTCAGCAGTGACCATTTTGGGGAAAGCTGGATGTGCTTTTTGTCTAACATTCCAGCAACAACAAGGTAAACATGGCTGAGATGGCATTGAATCTTTTCTTTTACAAAGGTTTACTGTACTTTTGACCAATGCTTATTGATCAAATTCTAGATACAAAAGCTGGTACAATCCCGCTGGAACTCGACGGTTCCCGCCTTTCATCTTACAATTATCCATGGCCCCTTGACGATTCACAAGAGTTCCCGAAATGTCAACAATTTAAACCACAATGGTTATCAACAACGGTACATTCATTTGCACAACAATCTCATCAAATTTAGACAAAACAACAAGAAGATGTTTCTGCGAAAATCGAGTTGCTTGAGGGTGGAACACTTACATTCTTTACTTTCAAAGATTCAACATCGCCTCTTCTTGGAAAGTGCCAGAAAATGACTCCTTTAGTTAATTTGAGGTTATCGAAAGACGAAAAATCAAGCTATCGGTTTTTAGTTTGGCCGAAGTACCGGATCGAGTGCTTACTTTCAAAGCTGAGTGCTTATCGGTGAGTGAATTGGACAACGATATTAAGTGATTTTCTCAATTCAGATCTCATTTTGTCCTGATGATCCATTGCCGAAACGTTTCGGTTTCGTAATGCATTTGAGTGAGACAAAGCTCGACCCGAAAAGTGTTACTTGCTCTCGTCGTTTCACACTCACTGATCAAGAGCCACAAGCCATTTTTCATGCTGAATCTCTGAGAAATGCTGAAGGTATGAGCTAGAATTGACATTGTAATGTCTCATCCTTAAGCTAAAGTAAAAAATGGGATTATGATAGAAAACTTAAGAATCCTTATTCCAGCCTCCAACAATCCAATTTGTATCAGCGACAAAAGCGCCTCTGCATCGACAAAAGGAAAGATGATTGCTGAGATTTCTGTTCTCTGTTATGAGGAAAATTTGGTAATCTTAAGAAGATTTAAATTAAAAAAATCGATTTAGGAATCATGCTTAAACGGATCACCATTTCTTTTGAATGGAAATCCATTTGACATACAAGATGAATCGATTGTGTAACCTTCTTTTTCATTAATTAAAGTTTTTCCATTTTTAGAATTACTTCTACAAACAGTAAAACAAGCTATGTGATGAAACGTTTCATCATCGACACTTTTGTTTATATAAACATTGATCCGAATTTTCTTATAGCTGAGAGTTCAATCTCTTTTCATTCATGGAATGCATTATCAAGTTGTTAATCAAAATAAAACTTATGGTTTATATCCTTATTTAGATGAAGATCAAGATTTCTATTTATTCCCAATTGGTGGCTATAATTATAGTACTTCTTTTGGATTCGAGAAAAATGAGAAACCGATTTGGATCACTTTTTCATCAACAATTGGCACTACATTAAGATTTAAAAGAATGGAATCGGTTTGAAATAACTCTTTGTAAATTTTATACGAATCTAGAATGAGCCAAGGAGTGAGTGCGTCGACTATTTGATTGTCGGTCCTCCAGCTGGATTTGAAGAGCATCTTGCAAGGGAATTGTTGTCTTTTAGGTAAATTTATCAAGTATAACTTCTAATAAGTAAATATTGCAGTGATGGGGATCCAATTGTTGAGCAAATTCTTCCATTTGGCGTTTATAGTTTCACCATTCCGTCGGGTTGTTCAACTAGTTTTACCCTCACTGCACAAACAAGTCATTTTTACTTACCGTAAATACTGTAATAGTACCCCACTCCCCTCGTACAGTCGCGTAGTCGCAAAAGTTTTTTAGTATTTCATTTTTGCGCCCGTACTTTCAAAAAATGCGTCTTTAGTATCAAAAAATAGCTGAAATTCAGGGCTATTTTTTTGATACCTAAGCGCGCATTGTAGCATAAACCAGTGTTGAGAAAAACTCGTTTAAAGCTAGACTACGCAACACTCCGCACCGTCATTATGGGGGTGGGGTACTATTACAGTGTTTACGGTAATCAAATTTGTTTTTTTATGACAAAATCACAAACAAACTTTAGGTGCCAGCAATAGCTATTCATCAAACATTGTTCGCGAGATTTGTGAAGGAAATGTGGTCATCACATCACTTGGATATTTTGATCCAGACATTCTCTTATTGAAAGTTGGTGAATATCATCTCTCCGAAAAGATCCACTGTGGTTTGTTTGTTTCTTCGATTTTTAATTGAGTTTTCTAGATTCTTATAATATCGATGTTTTGTTGGAAATCATTTCTATCGGAAATGGAAATCTTACATTAGAAATTCTTGATCACGAACTTGAAATAACAGAGTTGATTCAATTGTAGAAGTTAAAGAAAATCTTTTAGAAACTATTTAACGTTAGAATTGGATCAAGAAACGCCTCAAAACGTGACTATGTTAAATGTGACTGGGATTTCTGTAAGAAAAGCTGTTCTTTATAGCAAAATATTCGAGATTTAAGATATTTTGGGAACTGGATGGAAAGCAATTGTCGATAAAAGGAGGATGCTTTATCAGAGCACATTTCAAAAGAAGTGAACAAATGGAATCTACCATTGGGCCAGCTACACATACTAGTCAATCAAGCAAAATGACAAGTGAACAACCGACGTCATATGAGAGCACAACAGTTAGTGAACCAGTCACTAAAGCCAATTCACAAACTACCATTGAAGCATCTTTGACTACATCTAGAGAATCAACTGCTACAAATACAGCAACAACTTTTATTGATAAAACAACTACAGTAACCGGTCAACAAAGCACTGCAACTACAACCAATGAACAAGCTCAATCAACTGTCGGAACTACAATGATTAGGCAAAATACTCTAACCACAACTTTATCAAATCCACAAGTCACATCCACATCAATCACAGAAACCAGGGAACAATCAGCGTCAACTAGAGAAATTACAATCCCAACTCATGAACAAACATCAGTGAGTGAAGTTACTTCAACAGTTGGATCTCAAACCACGTCAGCCATTGAATCGACCACGATCATCACTAGCGACACAACTTTTTGGCCAACTATGCCATCTGGTGAACCAACTTCATCATCAGCTAGTGAACAAACGACAGACACATTAAGCATATCAACTGGTGAATCAACAACTTCAACAAGTGGACCAATAACCAACAAACAAACCACTGAACAAACGGCTTCATCGATAACAAATACGGTAACCATTGAAGCAACTACAAAAACCGACAAACCAACAACATCAACCTTAGAGCCAACGACATCGAACGTTGAAAAAACTATTCCAAGGAGTGAGCCAAGCACAACATTCAGTGAACAAGACAAATCGACCAGAAAACCATCAACAACATCAGATAGCCAAAGCACTTCAGTTGAACCAGCTACAACTATTGAAGCAACAACGATTTCAACTAGTACACAAACCATTTCAAATAGTGAAACAAGCGCATCAATGAGCACTTCAACTAGCAAACAAGTCTCATCGACTATAACAGTAACACCAACCGTTAAACCAACATCAACCAGTGAACAAGTAACTTCACCCATGACAACCACACCAATCATTGAATCAACTATAATAATCAGTAAATCAACGATATCATTGAGTGAGTCAACAGCCGCTACATCAAGCAGTGAATCCGCCGTAAACAACACTGAACCAGCAACAGCAATCAGTCAACAAAGTACAGCAATGAGTGAGCCAACAACAATCAGTTACAAATCTAGTCAACCAATCACATCAATTGCCTCAACTTCATCAATAATGGGATTAACGACATCAAGAAGTGAACAAACTGTCATAACTACCGTTGAACCATCTACTTTGAGCGGTGAACAAACTGAGACAACTGCATCAATCACTAGTGAAAATAAGACATCAACAAGTCAACTAACAACAACAACTATTGAGCCATCTACATCATTCGGTGAGCTAACAACCACAGCTTCAAATGAACGAGAAACACGAACATCAACCAGTGATCAAATCACAGCCATTGATCAGCAAACTACATCGATGAGTGAATATTTAACAACTGGAAATCCTACCCCGCCAATCACGCATTCATCATTCACATTTACGTCAAATTCGATAAAAACAACCGAAAAACATACCACATCAAGATTCTTTACAACAGAAACAGGTTTGTTTTATATCAAACTACGTGTCCCAGTAATCATTGTGACTAGTTTTGGCAAACTTCATCTGTCAAGTCACAAATAAGTTCAGTAACAAACGAATTAAGTTCAGTTTTCTAATACGCAATCACTGCTTTAGCTTTAATAGCTTTAACTAAATGAAAATGAGAACTTTTTTATGAGAGTTCAAATTCAGTTCTGCCAACCAAATCGTCGGCTTCAACAACCACGCCTTCTAAAAAGTCAACTACAACGACAACCACAACGACGACCACAACAACGACGACTACCACGACTACAACAACTATAACAATCAGAACAACCGCCCCAACAACTACTACAACTATTATAACAACCACAACAACTGTCCCAACCACCCCAACAACCCCATTAACAGAAATCTCAACAACCAAATCATCTTCGTCTCTTTTTGAAAACTTCTCTGTTCTTTCTGCACTATTCATTTTGTGTGCTTTGCAGCTTTTATGATTTAACATATTATATTCAAAGCAATCAGTTAATGATTTTTTTCAAATTTCTATAAAGATTTATTGCGCAAAAAAGTCACTCCAAAAGTGATTGAATCGATCACAAGATAGATCGTGGATGAAAAAAGAAACAAAGATTTCTATTGTCTAAACGCTCTTGCAGCTTTTGCATTAATTAGCTTGAGACTACAGCATTCCACTAGTGACCCATAAGTCTTACAAAAGATAAAACTTTCAAAGTGGTGACTCAAATTTACCCATTTAAAGCAAGCGTCACGTAAGAACAGAGCAACAAATTCAAGAACATTAAGTTCTGCAAAAAAGCTTAATTGCAATTGTTGCTCGTTGAGGCCAAGAACTCATCAAATTATAGCCCATCACCATAATTATTTCTATCTTGTCGGTTAAATTGTTACCATGTAAAATGAAAATTTTTGTATTATCAACTCTAATCCACTTTCGCTTCCAGGAACTTCTCAAGCCAGCCAAATCCTCTAATCATTTTTCCAATTCTACTCCTTGATAACTCTTTGTGCTCTCATGGAATGCACATTTCAACAACAATTTTCTTTTAAAATCCCATTTTTATTCTCATTTCCTTGATAATAAAAAGCGTTACAGATGCTTTATTTTGCTCAAAATCCGAAATCTTTTTGGAAACAAAACCGTGAGGCATTCGAGATACTCGTTGTCGGTTCAATTCTGACAAGTGGGTTATAGCCAAGAGATTCACTTGTTCTAATGAAAATAGCTGACAAAGCTGCACAATTCTGACTTTACTTGAACAATTCTAAAGATATCTTTAGAATCTTTAGATGAGAAAAAACATCAAAGTTCATGCAGAGCTGGGAATAGAAAAAATGGGTTTTTTACTCATGAATGTCAAGTTGAGATTCAGTTATAACTTGTGCAATGAAAGCAATGAGCATTTATTTGGCACAACTTCGTGAAGTGGAATTCTGGTTGGTTGCGAATCCGAATGTATTCATTGATCCAACGGCTACTTTAAACGATTCGGATTGGTTAGAGATTAGTATGACACAGTTATGGAGTATTACAAATATACCGAATTGGATCGTTGTATGGGTGAGTAAAGTAGTTTAAATTTGAAAAGAGTAATCTTAAAATTAGCTACACTTGGCGGCGATCTTTGTTTCTCTACTTGCCACCTACAATTCATTTCAGAACACAGAACTTGTGTTGGTGATTAGGTAATTCTAAAGTTAGAAAGTTTAAAAATGCGGTAAATCTTTTCAGAGTCTCTATCCGCAAATATTCTAATTGAAATGTCACTTGATATCATTCAAAAAACTAGATTAATTGGTTAGTCGTCGAATCAAATCTTGGAATGTTAAAACTCAAAAAATTACTCAAAGTTGGGGAAATTTTTGGCTGCCTGGAGAAAAAGAAAACCTTGATTTGTTGAATGGATCAAATTGTTGCATAAATGTACCTTGCTAAAAATAGTAC